GGTTTCCGTCAACCTTATGTTCTACTTGAAACCAAATTGCACAAACTTAGCGAATATACACTCATTTGCAAACTAATTTGGTTTTTCGAGAGACTCGCCTGGACCCAGCTGAATCCCTCATTTGTGATGTTCTCATGCAATTGAATGTGATGCATCAGGCCGCCTTGCGTTTTATTCGCTACGATATTCGAGATATGGCGATACATGTATATCTTTGAAACGTACTACTCATAAGGTTGCTGAAAATCCGTCGACGGCCCACAAACGGTTTCGCCCTTTTTGGGGCTCATCAGGTAGGAACTTGGAACTTGAATCTCTGGAAATACCAAATTAGTTTACAAATGTGTGTATATTCGCTACTATCGTGCAATTTGGTTTCAAGTAGAACATAAGGTTGACGGAACCTCGAGGCCTGAGCCTACCTGATGAGCCCCAAGAAGGCTGAAACCGGTAGCGGGTTGTCAAATCGTTTTCATCAACCTTATGAATAATGGACGCAACTTCTTTAGCTTAGCAGATTAGGAGAAACACCGGTCTTTCATGGGATCTTACTGGTTATGCAGACCAAGAGAGATTACTTGATATCTTGGTGTCTAGGTGAATTAGATAAATAGACATTGAGATTCAACAGAAATAAGTAGGAGCTCTTGAAAACTGTCGTGATATCCTTTTACTAAAGGCAGGGGAGCGGAAAATGGAAAACTTACGTTTGGGAACGGTGAGAAAAAAGTAACATTTATGCGCCCATTTAATGTGTATGAGTATATGCATTTCAGAAGTAGAGTAGTTGTGTTATCAGAATAGTTTTTGTTAAGTGATATTGAATCAGATATATTAGACAAGATTTCGCACACTATTCTGCAAACCCATGGAGCCGAAGCTTGTTGTCAATATTCCCAAGGTCATTAGTGTGAGCGAGAAGCCGGCTTTGTAGCCAGTGCCAAAGTGGTCGGACGCATCAAGTAGTTGACTATATCCAAGGTTAATGTGTCACCGTCCTACCACCCAGGCACAAAGACACCCAAGCCAGACTATCTGACGGAATATCAACGTAGTTAACGGTCAGTTAGCTGTGATATCCTTGAAATCAGCTGGTTTCAGTGAATGACAAGTTGTTTGTAGTTAGAGCAACTGTCCGAAAAAGCTCAAAAAACTATAATGACTATACCACGCAATGACAAAAAGACCAGATTTTAGGCGTTATCATATATTTTGCCAGGTTGGCGTTGCCAGCGCGGCTCAAAGGGGATACTTACTCCATAAATCTGTGACGTGAAACCACTAGATCCGCTAAAATTCACGTAGAATATTTATGTTGGCATCCCCGACGTTATCAATCCTGCTAAACTTTTTCGTCCATTTCATGTTGTTTTTGGAAACTTGACTCTATACAACCACTTTTGTACAACAAAAACGAACAACATATGGCGGATCACCTAAGGAGAAAGAAACGGTGTGTGCAGTGCTTCAACTTAAAGCTAAACTATCGCAACTTTCAGAAAACCAACCTAAAACTAGGACGTTATACCACCAACCATGGACTGTCTAAGCAAGCAGAGATCAGTTTGGCTGTCGGTAGCCTCAAAGGTAGAAAAGCTTAAGGAAAGGATGGCAGGCTCTCAGAGATTTGCACGTATTACCGTCCCGCATTCGTTCCAGACACACTCCGGTTCAATTTGGAGGTGTTTCTTGCTGAGGCGTCTCTCAATCTCTCGAAATGATGTCGAAAAAACATGCAAAAACTTTCGGAGAATGAATCTAAAAGATATTCACCAGGATCTTCCTCATTCCGTAAGAGATTTAGGACGTATGGAATGCTTGAACACTACACGAAAGTGGCTTCCACCCGGGAGAAACCATGTTTTCCAGATAGTTATTCTAAGTTTACTTCTGGGACATCGGGCCGAAAACTCAAGCAGCTAACCATTGTCGGCCTCATCGACTTTCCCTCTGCGTTCGACCGCATCCACTATAGATCATTATGGACTATTCTTACTGATGGTGCATGAACCACTTTCATTGCCATCTTCAAAACTCACCATATCCTAAGGAAGAATCGAGTTCGGATTCAAGGTGAAGGAACCTATTACTTTGATCTTGCATCCACTATGATGCATAAATGTCTCGTACCATCAGCACCTTTCAACTTCGTAACTGAGTTGGTGATTCAACATGCACTGGAATGATGTGTTGACATCCAGCTGAGCCCACGTGTCTTGACTGAAGATACCGCATATGTCATCAGTAAGATAAAATTCCTGTTCACGCATAGAATACGATAAACTTAGGCATACCGCTGCAATTCTATGCTTGGGTTATGCCTTCCCAGCTAACACATAAGCAAGGGGAGATTGATTTCCTTACTTGTACACCAAGTTACTTCATCGTGCAAATCCGTAAGACCTCGTGGAGAAGTTACATCAACTGACACATAAAGATTCAGTTGTTGAAAATGACGATCCATCTAGTCTTTAAACACGCTTGCATTTTTGCGCATAAAAATTTCATGAGCTCAGGCTTCTTAGCCATCTGTGCTCAAATCACTATTTTGCTTATTTCATGCGGCTTATTTTTCCTAAGAGGCGAGACCAAAATCAGCCAGCGTCAGTACGCTACAGATCTCGACTGACCAGGAGATTATGTTGAATTAAAGACGTGGTTTCTTCTATGGTATGCAGAAGGTGCCGATTGACTGGCGCATCCACTTACGTCATCTGCCACTGCCCAAGTATTAACACCCCTATTCGCACTGTCTGTCCTTGTGACAAAACAGGTCACATAAGTCTCAGTGGCGCGCTTCGTGTTTATTGGTCAGATGCAATCATCCAATCAAGAGTGCCGTTATTTTACGGTCTCTGCATTCCGCTAGCAAATGGATCACACGCACGCACCGTGGTAAGCGAGGAAGTAGATGCTTCTCTTTAGTTGGAGATGATGTGAAACAACCTGTAGCGCGTTGCTTGATTGCATTGCTTGCTTGCATTTCATTGCGTTGTTCCGACGTGGACGCATACGCGCACACAACGCCAACAATGGATGGAGTTCACACCTGTTCTCACCCTAAATTTCGAACTGTGCCCTTGGCTGGCATTGGAACAAAGCCAGTTCATTCAAGCAATTTCTCGATCAGGTGTGGCAGACACTATGAACCCTGAAACCGAACGCAACTTTGCTGCGTTGTTTGGATTTCCACTTAGTTATCCTCCAACCCTCACACAAGAATCACCAGCCGAATTGCAACCAGAGATTTGTAACCGCCCAGGAGTGAACATGTTATTGCCAGCAGTACAACATCTTCAGCAGCAGGAGCAACCCACGGGGTACGCACAGCCCTTTCGACCTTACGACCTGCATATCTGGCCAGACAGACTTGGTATTTCTACGGAGCGGGTTCGTAGACCGAAAACCAGTCGACCGAATTGTGGAAAAGTGAACAGTCGAAGCTTTAGGTCCCATTCAGTAAAACCTCCTTACTCATATATTGCACTGATTACTATGGCAATACTGCACTCTCCTCATCGGCGCCTCACTTTGGGGGGGATATGTGATTTCATCATGTCCCGCTTTCCATACTATCGTGAAAGGTTTCCTGCCTGGCAGAACTCAATCAGGCACAATTTGTCATTGAACGACTGTTTTGTAAAGATACCTCGGGAACCAGGTAATCCAGGTAAAGGGAACTATTGGATGTTGGACCCGAATTCGGTAGACATGTTCGACAATGGGAGTTTCCTGAGAAGACGAAAACGATACAAGAGAATATTACAGCCCATGAATTCAGGCGACCAGGTAATGGGGACAAAGCGATTCTGCAATGTTGTGGATGTGTTAAGTCAAAGAATTAACGAGGGTGATCAAGAAGATCATCCGAGCAAACCTGATCCTGTCGCATCTCCCATTGACTACAGCAGAGGCTGTGATATAACGTCTCCTTCTTTCGGTTTTTCTCTGTGCGAAAGACCTCAAAAGAGTGAAGTTGAATGCGTTCGCGAAAGATTTAAACTAGAAAGTCCCAGAATGAGGCCAGTTCCTGTGGCCCACATACCTCCCAGTTTTAATTCATGCGCCTATGGTGGAAACTTGAGCTATACGCACTCACCCCAACCATCACTGTCAGCAGAGGAATCGCCAAATTCACCGACCGAACGTCTATCCACAAGGGTTTCAGAGAACCCTGGGAGTTGTTTTGGAAATTCATCATCCACGTTTTCCTTCCTTATTCGGTCAATCCTTTCTGTGGCGAGGTCCGAGGTCTCATTAAAGACCACAACCGAATGCTCCCCGAACCAGATAAAAGCGTCTCGCGCATTTACCATTGATCAGCTACTCGGAGATGATCTTCAGAACTCGAGGTCAACGATAACCGAGGACGATTCCCCTCCAGGAAGAACAGGATCTGAAAACTTATTGTCCCTAGCGCCAAAAAAGTGTGCAGTTAATTGTACTTCCACACCATTCGCTTATTCCCAGTTACATCCAGTCCTTGAAGCTGCAGACACCCTGAACCAGCTAAAAGTTGAACAAAACATCCAGCCCTACCATTTAGACACCCGAGGATTTATACAGTCCTTACTTCTTCCTAGACCCTAATAGGTCTTCACATGCCAGGTCTACATACAGTCCCGTCAACGTCCGAATTGACAAATCCGCAGATGAACCCGGAGCTACAGATACTCAGACCATACTGAATACTATATATCCAAATGGACACACTACATTCGACACAATGCTGATGTTCATCCCCTTGGTGAGTGTATACTTGTAAATGAATACAAGTCTTGAATATTCTGAGGTTGTTATCCGATCACTACAGCCGGCAAGCAAGGCGTGTGCGCACTCCATTTTAGAACAAACATTAGGGTTGGTTCCGTTTCACTAGTGTTATAATTCACTTGCAATAATTTACCCAGAGCAAAGGAATCTACAGTTTGCACTATTGACGTGACGGAGAGTGTTTAGTCTTTGACCGGAATATAGTCTCCTAAGCTACTCTTACTTTTGTTGCAACAGAGTTGCGAATTTTCTAGCCGCAATCCGGCGTACGAAAACGTGCATACTCTACGAGGACGCATGGAGTTCGGGAAAATGCGTTCCCAGTAACTTGAATTGCCGAAGTTATTTTGTGATATACAAGCCAAATTACTCGCTTCACTCCGTAAGATATATACCAGATACTAGAAAAAACGAGATAGAATTTGTGGCTGTTTTGAATTCCAAAATCACTCACGAGTCATCAGCATGCGAGAAATTTGGACAAAATTATTACCACGCAACATAACTCCATTCCGAAGCATGTAGATGAATTTCAAGCAATTTTGCTGCTTCTTTAGAGCAACTGGAATTTTCAAATAGACGTGACATGCTACTTACAAGATTGAGCGCAAAACTCCTGCACACCCCATTGCCGGTTTTGCCTGCTGTGGAGCTTATCAGGTAGGCTTCGGTCAGCATCATGCTCTCCCGAGACGCCTAGCTGCACACACCCTAATTTGCAGATCACGTCGGTGTTCACGACAGACCGAACTGGAACGTCCATATGAATTATTCTTCAGTAGAATGTGCTGCACAAGTGGCGTCTCGTCAGTCATTTGGCGTCATATTCGCGGTATAGTACTATATTCTTTTGACAAAGCAAACCAGTTATAAGGTTGCTGAAAAATTCGACAGTCCACTGTTGGTTTCGTTTTTCTTGAGACTGATTAGGTAGGTGTATCCCTGAGTAGTGTTTAGAAAACATACAGCGGTATCCCGAATATCGTGTTAAATTGAGGGCACCGCTGGTGAAGCACATTCAGTTGAAAGCTATCGCAGGAAACAAATTCGGTCTGGTCTGAAGTAATTTTCTGATGTTTTGATGGCATTCTGTAGAATTATTGAGGCATAACTCCTACGTTCGCGAATGAACTGCCAGCTGGCAAGAAGGTAGATAGTTTGGCGGCTTTAGAACACTGACAGATTTTTAACTTTGAAACCCGGTCTCTAGATATTGTGCAGACGTCACTAGGGCCCTTTGCAAACAAGCATTCCAGGCCCTACATAGCGAGCCAGTGGGACACTACACATAGTTGCTCCAGGTATAGATTCTGAATATGTTGCAGGTAAACCTGATAAACGCATAGTAGCCAGTGCTTAATGCGGTTGCCCTGAAATCTTTCAATATCTATGAAGGGTGCTCTAGAAAGACGAAATGTCTTCCACGCCACAGCCGATTCTACCGCATAGAAATTGGCTTGCTGGGGTGGGTTTATCTCGATGACGTATGACTTTACGTTTCTTCTATTTTTTATTGTTAGACAGCTTACAGCTGTGCTAAGAGTGTCAGAATGAGACTATCTTTGTGCCCCCAGAAGCAGGTGTGTGGTGAAACCATATAACGTGCGGTGGAAACATTGCTCACATATGCCCAATCTAGCAGGTAAGGTGGAATGGTTCTCTTACATGGATCTGTCCACAGAAGAACCAGAATGCCTCGCATCCCCAAGACCTGTGTTAACAAAAATGATGTTGTTCTTGAGAGTTTCAGGAGGCTATGATGTCACAGAGCGGAATGTTCCAAATACGCAATATAACTCTGGTACAGGATAAATACGGCAATACTCCTCAGTACCGCATGAAACTGTTCCTAGGTAACGGATGACCCTTCTGGAAAGAATCTTGGCCGCGAAGCCGAATAATTCTAAATAAGTCAGTGTACTCCGCCAATCTAGGTTGCAAAAACGTACTCACGGTTGTTTGGGAGTGATTCAATTTTGATGCGATATTTGGTGCATTACACGAACATTGCACCAGAGGCTCTGCACGTCGGGTATACTGGAACATATAACCTCGATGACGTGTGTGCCCAAAACTGGTCAACACCTGTTGTGGCACCTTGCGTTCGTCCTTTTGTTACTCTGTTAGATCGCAGTAGGAAACCTTATTTCGAAAAAAAAGAAATATCGGACCTAGAAATCAGGCCGATGCACCTGAGAACCATAGACCCAAAGTGTTGGAATCGACCCGAGTAATCAGCTGAGGTAGGTATCTATTGGGCTAAAGGACTTCCAGAGGAATCACACAAGGCCGATTCAATTACTTATAGACGCCTTCAATATTGTTGACTTCGTTTCGTTAACAATTATGTTTGCTTTCCAGTGGTTAACTTGGAGTGTTTCTTGTTAGTGGACAATCGTTCAAGACGATTCAGGCACAGTATAATGTGGGTTGATTCCAGTCACTCACATATAGTTGGACGATGAAACGGCGTACGATCCTCAGTGCTTCCGGCCACAGAACAACACCTGCGAGTCGAGTGAACTTCCGGGAAGTTCAATATTTTTATAAAGCTTATTCGTTCTTGATGCGGATCACCACGACAGTTCACATCCTTGAGACCCAAACGAGCTGGTTGACCCAAACCCCACTCCAGGCGAAATTTGCCGCATCTTCTTGCTGTAAACGAAGGTCATTCAGCAGTTTGCTCACCCCACCAGTAAATATACAGGCCAGTGGAATCCCAACTCTTAGAGCATCGATTTTAGACGGGTGTTTGGGCTCTACAGTTCATCATGTTCATAGCTAAGTTTGACCATTTCAGCCTGTCATGTCAAATGATCATTGTAAAACACCCTACAGGCTACAACATTATCCGATAAGTCTTGGTCGGACTCAGCATGGTTTGGCACATAACTGGACGAGGATACAGCAACGGTTCGAGCTAATGAGACTGTAACATGCAATGCAGCAAATCACAGCAGTTCTTTTTCATGCTCTCGCCATTCTATCCATCTTCAGAATAAACCCTATCTGTGTCTAGTTTTAGTCTCAGCTTAGCCTATTTACAACAGGGACCCGGCTTGAAAGACTCCATGGAAGGAGATTTTTGCAGTTGCATAAGTTCATTGCGCTGCCTCACTGGGTAGCAGTTACGACAAAAGGATTATCTCCGCCAGAAGCGAACTATTTATTCTATCTTTCACACGCCACGTACTACAAGGTTTTTGTCGCCCCTAGGCTCCTTGTTGGTCATTTTTCCCACTTGGAGATATGTTTCGGTATCCAAGGGGATATTTCATCAAATTGCTAATCATCCGTAACAATAGTAGCGTTCTCCGTATGTGTAGTCCTTCAAAATACGTCCCATAATGGAACGTTAAACACAAAAAATATGCGGGCTGTTTTAGCGACTTAAGTGATTGAGTTACTGTTTGGTCCTAACACGCTGCTGAAAATTCTAAGAACACCGTAAACAAGAGATCCAGCTGGGTTCAGTTGGGTCTTTCAAACCCAAATTCCAAAGCAAATAGGGGGCGAGATGGCTCAGTGGTTAGAGCACAGATTTACAGACCGGGAAGTCCGTGGTTCGAACCCGACCTCCGCCTGTCGACTTCCCCTGTCTAGACTTGGCAACCTGGCAGTATCCCATCCTCCGTGCTTCCTTTGGGTGGCATGGCAGTTAAGCACCGGAAGGATACTGCAGCTGAATGATTTAACTTTTTCCAATGCAGGTAGGAGCGTTTGGCGACTGATGTATTGTTCGAATACCATTTAGCCGGGTGTCGCCAAGGTCAAGAAAGACACCAGATCTTCATATAAAAAATGGGAAACCATCTGATCCTTTTTTTCAAACGAAAATAGCTATCCAGATAAAAAAAATTTCCGATGATGAACAAAACCTGAGCAGACTTTAAGTAGAAAAATGCGTTTTTATCACCGCCTAAAATAAATAATAATAAATAAAATAATCGTACATTTGTAGCACCCTTTCGGTACCTAACTGTCATGCCAGCAGAAAGAAGCACGAGGGGTGGGGTACTGCCAGTTTGCTCAAGCCTAGACAGGAAAAGTCGAGAGGCAAAAGTTGGGTCCGAACCACGAACCCTCCGGTCAGTAAGTTCGTACTCTAACCGCTGAGCCATCACCGCCTAATCCAGCCTGCCACCCGTAAATGATATCAAAGGAACACGACAACTAGTCAAATGGTAATGTGACCGAATACTCCTATCTGGTCAATCTGGTCAGACTAAACGTAATTTCTGAACCAAACAGCGCACAGGGACAAAGTAAACTGACGCTAAAAGGGTTTGAAGAACTCATGAAGACTACGCCCAAGGTTTTCCTAAAAGTACTGACTAAAATGTGGTCAATTAATCATCAAACGTGGTCTCTTGAGCATACCTCTAGAAGCGTTGAGAAAACAGGTAATGAGCAAAGCGCCCGGCATAGCTTATATTGCCTTATATGTGCTATCAAAACCAATTATTCCTCTGATAATCGTAAAAGTGTTATAACACAACACGTCCCTAACTCAGCTACATTATAATTGAACGTTTCACTTTCAAGCTTGTCACAACAAGTCACTAGGTCAATTCACCTCCTGCCAAGCCGGAAATCCTGAGCCCGTTTTGAAGTACCGAAAGCAGGCCTAATCAGGCGGGAAAATGCGAAGCGGGAAAACATATGATGGATCCCTAAGATAATCTGGTTGATTGTTTTAATAAACTCGACCAGTTGGTGATTGAATTTTGAAAAAACCCGAACAGTCGTTGGTGTAAAAAAAGAGTTAAATTGTTGTGAAGGTAGGAAAATTGTCCACACTGATATATCCGAAC